ACCCAAAATTGGAGAAGGACAGTGGCGGTGGATCTAGTTTAGCATCAAAGAACACAGAGACGTGGGTGGTGAAAGGGAAACGATGATTATTGGTTCAAAAAACGCAATATTTTGATGATATGTGATAGTGAAACCACAATCTGTGGCGATAGAGGAGTTAGAGGAAGGGGCGATGTAGGGAGAAAAGAAAGCGGATGGAGGGAGATGACGATTCTTCTTTCTCGTTTGCAATTATTTTTTTCAATTTTACCCTTGTGTGTATTTTTGCTTCATCAAAGCTCTTATGTTTGACACAAATATTCGGCTTATTATTATTATTATTTTTTTCTGATTTATTAAATCTCTTTAAGTTTTGATAGAAATATTCGATTTTAATCGAATAAAATTTGGGTTTTCATTTTTTAATATTTTAGGGTCAAATAAAGGAAAACATATATCGTCTTTATTATTTCCCTCGCACTTACTTTCTCACGTCAGTAATACGCATCATGCTTTACATAGACATAGAATCCATCACACTTTACATAGAGATAGAATCTGACACCAATTTCAACAAATATTGTAAATTAATGAACAAAAGTCTACATTTACTAACAAAAGGACCCACGTCATAAGGCTATATTTCATACACACACCACCCATGAATTAACAATGGTGAGATATTTCTTTCTTTTGTGATCCGTCAAAACTGGAAATAACAATTAAACATATCACGTCCCTTTCGTGTCACTCTTTTTGACTGAAAAACTCATGCCAAAACAATAGGGCAGCAGCCTCATCGCCGCCCCTCCTTCTGTTGCCGGAGCAGTCACCGGAAGGGAAGACCGGAGACCTCAAAGCTTCCATTCTTGTCATTCAGCGTCATGTCATCGAATAATATCATGTCAGCTTACAACTAAAACGACCAAACATTGAGCAAAATTAGAAAACATGGTAATAAAAAAACTTAAAGCATCTTCAATGAATTTTTTTAGAGCTTATTAGAACACCTCCAATGGTTAATCTATATATGATTCAAAATAAATATCACATCATCAGCGCTTTAACTTTAACTCCATTAAAAACATCTCTAATGGGCAATTGTTAACTTTCTGCATAGTTATTTTTAAAAGAATAAACACAACTAAAATACACAATAATGCTACAAATGAATGTCACTAATGGAACATAAAGTAATAAAATAACATGGCCCATTAAATTTAGCTAATTCACCCTCAACTATCTATAATGTTTTATAAAACCCGTTCATATGTATTAAAACTTAAGTATTAATGTGTTTGTTATGGTTTATATTAAACTTTATTATGATTTGTAATATATAAACATTTATAATATATAAACTTTTATATGGAAAAATAAAAAATATTCCAAACTTTAATATAATTAAAGGGGTAGTATAACATTTTATTAAAAATAGTGGGGCTAGTTGTTCAAACCAACATAATATATTGACCACTCAATATATATTGAATGGTCAATTAAAAAAACCAAATAAGCTATGCACTCCAATGGGGTTTAGTAGTTATTATTATTATTATTTTTTAAATAATAAGTAATAAAAAAAAAGTTTTATTAGAGATGCTCTTACTATTATATTATTTTGCATCGAACACTTATTGCCATTAGAGCAAAAAACTTTTTTTGTTTATTTTTATTGATCACTCAATATTTATTGAGTGGTCAATATAGTTTAGCCCTTAATATATGTGACAACCCGAAACTTTTACCTTGTACAACTATTCAATTCAATCAATGTTAAATTCGTTCATGTTGTCTTTTAGCACTGTTTAAGGGTTCGTTTAAGTGTTCTAAGCTTGAGTTCAACCAAGGTTGAGATTAGGGATGAGTTATTATGTCGTAAAGTAGCAAAATTGGGCCATATACTCCTTTAGGAGGAGTGTACGGCCGTACACCCCCTTATGGCCGCACACCCACCCCTATATATATGGGTAGACCCATTTTCCTTCATTCATTTCTTCTCTTGGCCGCACACTACTCCCTTTCTCTCAAGCTTACTCAACCGTGAACCCTCCAAGGCTTCAAAAACGTGAGTAATCCATCATTTAGCTTGTTGTACTTGAAGAACCTCTTGATCTAAGCCTTGATTCATCAAGTCCCGTCATGTTCTTCACCCTTTGAAGGAGTACGGCCGCACACCCTCATGAGGTTGGCCGTACACTCCTTAAAGGCCCTCCAAAGTGAGAGTTTGGCCTCTATCTTCTTTTTGGACATGACCCTAGCCTTGATTCACCTTAAAGTCGACATTTTGGGCATGAGCATGAAGGGTGTACGGCCGCACACCCCTTTGTACGGCCGCACACACACCTTAGGGCCGCAAACCCACTTTGATGATCATTTTAGGCCTCAAACTTGAATTTCAACTAAGCATGGGACCTAGAACACTTCATGGATGCTAGTTAGAACCTTGGAAACACCTCAAAAGCACATCTCATCATGAGTGTACGACCGTACACTCATGGGCCGCACACCCATGGCCGTACACACCCTTAGGGTGGCCGTACACCTCCTTCACTCAATCCCTTATCGTTCTAACACTTAGTTCAAGTGTTTCCAAGTCCCTAGAGTGTTTTCTTATCATGTCTAGTAGTGAAATACCCTAATTGGGCTCCTATATGTATTATTACATGTTAAATAGGATCCAATCGTGTTCAAGGTTTCACTTGACACTCAGCATCCCGTATCGATCCTTCATTCAAACCACTCACTCGAGGTGAGTTCATACCCCTACGCTTTTACAATTTTTAATGTTTTCAGGGGGGAATACAAGCCAAATACAAAGTATTTTATTAAGCTTTAAACGTATTAATACAATTCAACGATTTCCATGTTTAATAAAATATTCAGATATTTTATCCCTTTTGTACTATGTTGAGCATAAGGGACGCTCTTATTTTGGGAAATATAATTTCATAGTTTTCATAATGGTTTTACAAAGCAATTACATATCATTTCAAGTAAACTATAATGGGTATAGTTTGGGAAAACTCAATATACAGCTTTTACCAATTCAGATATCATTCATGAGTGAATATATATAAACTATGACAGATTTAGTTTATGGTATGTATTTTCTCAGGAGTATAATATTTAATAATTATTGAAGTATAATTATTACTTTATATTGCATTTAACGGATTCAAATTGCAAGAGAATAAAACTGAATTACATGTAAACTAGATTATACAAGATTGTGAGGCTCTACTTCGAACCAATACTCTTAGGAGTACTTAATTAAATCCTATCCTAGTATAACCAGAGTCTCCTGGAGGGAGAGTGTGAGATTTGTGAATAAATCTATTCGGGACTGACAATCCCACACCTGAACTGCTATCTACAGTTAGGCAGGCATGCCTGGGGTGACAAATATCATTTAACCGACGCCTGAAGAACGTCGAAAAGGTCACATTGGTCATATCAAGCATGGTTATACGACTCACAATAAGTATAAACTAATCTTTGTTTACAGGATTTCATTCTTCATTAGTTTTATTTTAAGTAATAAAACTACTTTCATATATACTGATAGTAATCAGGGTTTCCAAAAGAACAATGCATAAATGATATAAGTATGGTGAATACTTGTACCCTTCAATTTATAACAGATAGTTCAATAACTTGCATTTAGGGAAAATATAGGATTTTCCCAGGATAACACCGGTATTTTTATAAACTGATGGTTTATCATTCAACTAACGAATATTCATATTCATTCCATGACTCCTTGGCTTATGCGTAACTAGTATGAACCTGGAAGTCATGGAAGGAATGGGTATATAAAAATAAATAATAGTGAAAAAATATAGAATTATTAATTATATACAAAATTGTCGCCTTAAGTCACGACTTATAAACAAATGACTCGTAAAAAAATTGAGCATTGATATTGCCGCCAAGTCATGCGATATTTAGAATCTTTGTATTAATTAATGATTGAAGATGTTCAGTGCTCTTAAGACATTTACTTTTTTTAGAAATACAAATACAATTATAAAAATCTATCTTTATATATTGTTAAAGTAGGTGTAAGACCTATGTATTACATGAGTTAATTTTAAATAAAAATAAAATAAAATTCTAAACATTTGAGAAGTTTGAATTTATAAGAAACAAATAAAAAAATATTGAATTATTAAAATTAAATTGTTTGTTTTTCTTTTAAATTAAACAAATAATTTAGATAAATAAACAAAGAAAACTAATGAAACTTTAATTTAGAAATTTTGAAATTAGAAGGAAGTCAATTAATGAAATTGATACGCATTTATTATTACATTTATTGAATTATTACATTTAAATATTATGTGGAAATTAATAAAATGAAAAAAAAAAACCAAAAAATGTCATGTGTAAAAAATTAATTGAAAATAACCACAAAATAAAACATGTGACCAAATCAATGAGAGTGTGACATTTGGTAAAAAGTTTTTTATTTATTAGGGACTAGCTGTAAAACACGTGTATTACACGGGTTGATTAAAGAAAATAAAATATTAGAATTTAAATAATATATATTTTTTAAAATAAAATTTTGAAATAAGAAATGAAGAAACATATTAATTGCAATTTATTATAATATTTATTACATTTGATACTTTACGTATATAAGTATAAGATTATGTGACTTTTTAATTTTAAAAAGACTAAACTGCACAAATGGTCCATGTGGTTTGTTGAAAATTGTCACTTTGGTCCAAAAAAGTTTGGACTAGCACCAGTGGTCCAAAAGTTTGATTTTCTTGAGAGTTTGGTCCAATTTACTTTGAATTTTTTAAAATGATAGATTTTCCCTTTATTAATTTCATTTTCTATTTTTTTTATTTTGTTATATTTCTGATTTAAATAAACAAAAAAGAAAAAAAAAAGAATAAGAAACGTGTTTTCAGTCCTCCCTCCGGTAAACACCACCACCACCGATCACCATCTCTCTCTCTCTCTCTCTCTCTCTCTCTGGAACACCTCCGATCTAAACCCTCACCAACATGCTCTTTGTTTCTTCTTCGACGATGGAAACAGATCTGGAAATGAGGGTTTGCTTTGAGCTAGGTTTTGCTGAGGAACAATCGAGTCGAAGGAGAAGACGAAGGGCGACGAGAGGCGATAGGTTTGCTTCTGACGGTGGTATCCCACAAACGAGCTTCAAGATCTGAACAGAGGAGGATCTGGGCGGAGGAGGATCTGAATCGTCGCCACCAGATCCGTCGATTCAGACTTTGTAAGGATGCATTTTAGATTCTCGAAGGTGGCTTCGTCTAGAAACCCTCAAGATCGATGATGTTCCAGATTTGTAAACATCGTCGTCTTCCCAGCTCGGTGATAACTTCGTCTGGAAACCCAAGCCACAAACGTCACTATTAGGATTGAAACCCTAATTGTGATTTGATGAACAAGATGCGGAAAATAAGAACAAACACAAATAAAGAAGATATGTCGAATGATCACTCGATTTGTTGATAACATGAGGAATAAATTACACTTTCAGCATAGACTAAAGAATCTAACACTACATAAGAAACCTCACAACGTGGCGACTACATTTTTGCCTCACTCTTAACCCTAATAATGAATAATACATGACTATTTATAGGGAAAAGACAAGTCTTGGGCTTTTAACCTACACTTCATCAAGGGGGCCCATTGCCATCATCCATGGAGTGCTTTGAAACCCTACAATCTCCCCCTCAAAGTATGGAATGGATGACAATGCTTTAACTTCCAAAACAAGCATCTAGCAAATAAAAATATCTGCAACGAGGAATATATGAAGCAATCCACGAATCTTGATTCTTCGATAGTCTTTAAACACGGGCTCTAGGATATATAAACCAAGCACTGAAGTAATGTCTTTAAACTTCATTTTCGAATGTAATCCCAAAAAAAATCTTCATGAAAACCAAACCCGCCATGAAAAACCCATTTCAGAACAAAGAAACCAAATCACTTATTGTCTTTGAAGAGCTCCCCCTCCAAGTCACAATGATCTTCAAATAAGCTAATGATATAAGCCATCAAAAAATATCATGTAGCTACCCAAACTTTAAGATTCGTAACGCCACTTGATCGAGAAAATACAAGAAGTCGGAGATATAACAAGTCCTTAGAAGAGCTCGATGAAGAACTTCTACTGTAAAGGATACTTCTCTGTAAAAGCTTTAGCAGAGCTCGATGAAGAACTTCTACTGTAAAAGCTACCTTCATAATTCTACCACAAGCTTTATCAAAAATCTTCAACTTTGAAAAGTCACAAATCCAATTTCGAATGGCCATACCAAATTCTCCCCCAATTTATAATCAAAAACATGATTATAAAGCCTTCAAATGGTCATGAGAATGATCTTGAATGGATAAAAATTTACTAAGCTCCCCCGCGACAAAATGATATACATAATGAAGTATAAAATTCGAAAAAGTCGTGAAAATTTTGACGTTATCACGAAAAACGACTTTCCGAACCGCCAAGACTTGATGGAATCTTTATTTTTCTGTTCACGAAAAAATATGTGCGTTAAAGAATTCAAAACTGTTCACCAGCCCTTAAAATTGTAATTTTTTTCGAAAAATGGGCTGAAATTGTCACTTGCTGAAATTTAGGGGCTGGAATGGTAATTCTGCATCAATATACCCCTTTATTTGTAACAAAATCTAGAAATGGTCCAAAACTGCCAAGGCATGAAAGGTATAGGGACCAAAAGAGTCAACTCGCTGAAGTTTCAGGGGCTAATAATGTAACATGTTTATCTTCTTCCCCAATTCATTGACTGTATAAACGAACATGACTGGAATCGTGAAATCATCACAGCGAACACCGATAACAAAGTGAAGCTGCAATCTGAGCTCAAGCAACCGAATCCTAAGTTCGTTCCAAGATCATCAATTTTCCACCTGAAGCGAACCCAACCGAAGGTTCGGTTCCTTTCGTTTCTATTTCCATTTCAAGCTTCATCAGGCGAGACTCCTTTCGCTTTCGGTCCTTCCTCCGTGCGCTCCAACCATTAACAAGTGAACCCAAGTTCGTTGTTCCAGGTTCGGTCCAAGATCATCAGCATTTACCCCAAGGCGAATCCACTCACAGGTTCGCTTATTGTTCTCACTCTACATTCGCTTCAAGCCCTTTCGTTCCAAGGCTAACAAACGAACCCAAGTTCGTTCCAAGTCCGTCGATTATACCCCAAAGCGAATCCATGTCAACAAATCCAATCACAGGCGAACATTCACAGGTTAGCGTTCGCTCATTATTCACCCTAAACCACGGTCAATTTTGACTTTTCTGAATGTGCCTTTGACTATCAATTGCGAACAGATACACAAACACATTCTGCTTGCAGGATCATTACACCAACTACAAACCATCAATCTTCTTCCCAATTGAAGTCTTTCCCAGTCGCTATCAGACCAAACCATCTTCCCATTCGACATCCAAGTGGTTCGTTCTCAGACCATGAAACCCAATAATGAATCAATAGCTTCCCAGAATTAATAATGAACCCTTCATGTCAAATTAAATTGGAAACAAGATTCGACTTTTAACACAATTTTGACTTTATCCTTTGACCCATCGAGTTTGAATCGGAAGCCATAGTCCAGTATTATTTCCGATTGCAAGTCGATTCCCTTCGAGTCAACAATTTCAGTTCGGATTGTTTTAATCACCAATTGCAAGACCCATGTAGCTATAGCGAACTTGTCTTCAAATCAATTCCGAACACAGTGAATGCCAAACTCAGAATTACGATAAACAACAAAGAATCCGACAATCACAACAAATCGATTCAGCCTTCATATCTGATTACACTCATAAATGAGAGTACCGCTCATAAATCTATAACTCCAATTTTGACTTTTCTATTTGACCATTCAAATTGAGATTCAACACAGTTCATCAGATGACCCCAGAAATTACATTTAACCAACACCAAGTCAATACAGATGAACAGTAGATGAACAGCATAAATTTCCATGAACAGTAACTTGAACAGAATTTTGATTCCATACCACCAAAACACCAATAATCTTCAATAATTTGTGCAGAAAAACATCAAATCAAGAACCGATACTTCAAAGATCAATAGATCTTCAAAGACCCGCTCTGATACCACTTGTTAGGATTGAAACCCTAATTGTGATTTGATGAACAAGATGCGGAAAATAAGAACAAACACAAATAAAGAAGATATGTCGAATGATCACTCGATTTATTGATAACATGAGGAATAAATTACACTTTCAGCATAGACTAAAGAATCTAACACTACATAAAAAAACCTCACAACGTGGCGACTACATTTTGCCTCACTCTTAACCCTAATAATGAATAATACATGACTATTTATAGGGAAAAGACAAGTCTTGGGCTTTTAACCTACACTTCATCAAGGGGGCCCATTGCCATCATCCATGGAGTGCTTTGAAACCCTACAGTCACCTTCGTATCTCGCTCCTTCTCCGGTGAGCCTCGTCTCTCTCAGATCCGACGACTAGTTATGGTCCGACGACTAGTTATGGTTTTTAAGATCCGAAAAGTTAGGGTTTCAGATCGCCGACGTCCTTCTTCTTCTTCACTGAAAACCCTAATCTATATGAGATATGGTGGCGGCGCTAGGGTTTCGAAAGTTGGTGATGGTTTTTGTCAAAAATAGGGGTTATGGATATGGTTTCCGGTGGAGAAGACGAACCAAGAAGGTGAAAAAAGGGTCTCCGGTGGTGGGAATCGATTAAGATTTGTTGTAGGTAATGGCGACTTTCAGATTTGTCGGAGGTTGGTGGTAACAGAGACGATGGGGGCTGAATGTGGGGCTGAATGTGGTGGCAGCTACGGCGAAGACGGTGGCGGCGTCGACAATGATGTTGGCTGACGGTGGTTTTCGTCGGTGACACCGGTGGTTATAGTGAATAGTAGAGGGGGAGATTGAAGATCGAAGGGATGAGGGGGTATAGTTTAGGTTTTATATTTTCTTTTTTGTTTTACTTTTAATTATGATAATTGTGAAATTAAAAAAAAATAGAAAATTAAAAAAGTAAGGGCAAATCTATCATTTTAAAAAAATTCAAAGCAAATTGGACCAAACTCGCAAGAAAATCAAACTTTTGGACTACTGGTGCTAGTCCAAACCTTTTTGGACCAAAGTGACAATTTTCAACAAACCACATGGAACATTTGTGCAGTTTAGTCTTTTAAAAATTGGAAAAAAAAACCATAAATTGACATGTGATATTATTTATTTGAAAAATATCACAAAATGACAAGTGTCAAAACTCATTAGAGATTGATATTTGGCAAAATTATCTTCATTTATTATAGTATAGAAGTAGAAGATGATGATTAGTTAAATTTAACCTATACATATTTTTTTCCATCGATAATAATATCTTTTAGTTTTTACATATTGCCTGATCGATAAATCTTAAAAAAAGAATTATCATATAGAACACCTTAAATATGCATATGGGAATAATTTGATTGATTACATTTCATGTAGTTTTGGAGGCGACGTGGCAAGCTTTTTCACATCACCCACTGTGTGGCTCCAAAGCATTCGAAACTTTCAAATGCAAAAGAACAAGCGGTGAGACGCACAGAGAGCTCCCTCTCAATGGCGAGCACCGCTTCTTCTACATTCGGATCGCCCAAACTCCACTTCTCCCAATCATTCACGCACAAAATTTCATCTTCATCATCGACTCTGCCCAGGAAAACTCGGGTTCCTTCGATTTCTTCGAAACCAAGCAGAATAATATCAATATGCTCGTGTTTAACAGATAGTTCTTCACTCGAAGCAGTCAAAGCAATCAGCCCCAAAGTTCAAGTCGAAACATGGTATCATCTATTTCACTGATTAGGGTTTTTTTGAGCACCTTAGTTTTGCAAATTGAGAAGATACTTATAGTGTTACGATTTATGAAGCCTGATTTTGGGGGTGTTTTGATGTGTGAATAAACTAATTATCTCGATTCGATTTTGTATGTGTTGTAGCACCTGGAATTGGAAAGGCTATTCAATTCGATACCAGTACGCCGGAAACAGTGGCCCTGCATTGGTTTTAGTTCATGGATTCGGAGCAAACAGGTCCACCATCATTCATCTTATGCTTCTCGTCAACTATGTGATATAGGTATTAACTGCATTAGATTCTCGATAATTCAAATGAACAAATAATCAAATCATTCAAAATTCAAATGTTTCTGATCCTATCCTGGATTTGCCTACATGATTACATCTTCAAGTTCTTTGTTTCATCAACACACTCCCATATCGCTAAATATTTCCAATTCATCTTCTTTAACAGTGACCATTGGCGCAAAAACATCCCTGTTCTTGCAGAATCACATAGGGTATTCTCAATCGATCTTATTGGCTATGGTTATTCCGACAAACCAAATCCTCGTGATCTTGGAGACACTCCATTTTATACATTTGAGACATGGGGTTCTCAAATAAACGACTTTTGTACAGAAATAGTTAAAGATCAAGCATTCTTTATCTGCAATTCAATCGGAGGACTTGTTGGTCTTCAAGCAGCAGTAACAGATCCAAGCATCTGTAAAGGCATTGTTCTTCTAAATATCTCTCTTCGTATGCTTCACATAACAAAGCAACCATGGTTTGGGAGACCCTTAATTAGATCTTTCCAGAACTTACTGAGGTAAATTACCAATCTAACCTCCAGTTTAAATCAACAATATTAGAGTCATTTCAATATTCAAGTTACAATCGTTTGTTCCAGGAATACCCCTGTTGGAAAGTTCTTTTTTCAAACTGTCGCAACACGAGAATCCGTTAGGAATATTCTTTGTCAGGTAAATATATATATTTATAAAAACTTTTAAAAATAATATAAAACTTTTTCTTTTTTGTGATTTGATAGTGTTATCATGATACTTCCCAAGTGACTGAAGAACTAGTGGACGCAATCCTTCTTCCAGGGCTTGAGCCTGGTGCTGCTGACGTGTTCCTTGAATTTATCTGTTATTCAGATGGCCCGCTTCCCGAAGAACTACTGCCTCTAGTAAAGGTTGACTTTTTAGTCAACCCTTTTCGGTCAAAGTCAAACATTTCATATTGAAAAAAATATGGCTGATAATAATCTTGTGTTTGTGTAGTGTCCGGTGTTAGTGGCATGGGGGGATAAAGATCCTTGGGAACCCGTTGAACTCGGAAAAGCTTATGGACAATTTGACACTGTTGAAGATTTTGTTGTCCTTCCTGACGTTGGTCATTGCCCTCAGGTACGTAAAGTTTGTTTCTTTTCTAGACTGAATAAACCGTCTTAATGAAACTAAATGACCATTTTATCCTCACATTTCAAAAAACAAAATTTACACTATTCATTGATTGTAATTTTTGTTTTTATTGTTATGAAATTTTGTAATTTTTGGTTTCTGACGTGACAGGATGAAGCGCCTCATTTGGTGAACCCGTTAGTCGAGTCTTTTATCGCACGCCATGCAACAATGAAAAGTTAGTTTTTGTTAATTGACATGAAAAATTACCATTTTCTTGTTTTATTTACATGTTCAAAATTTAAGTCAAAGCGGCTTTTCTTTTTTTTTTTTTTTTTTTTTTGTATTAAACAAGCAAGTGTATTATTGTATGTATACTGAAATGGTTGTTGAGACTTGAGCGTTTATAAAATGATTTATAAGGAAAAAGATGATTGATATTTGATAATTGATACTAAGATTTGAGACAATCTTTTGAAAAGTCCATTCTGTTCGATTGATTAATTCGATTACTACAGTTTGGCCCAAACATTTTACCAGAGACCGCTTGGGCCCAAATCCAACCGGAAGCAAGATTAAGACCAAAGCCCGGCCCAAAACAAGGTACTAGTTTGGATTTGGAAAGAGAGCGGGCCTCGGGCCTTTTTTTCAAAATGCTACTTTAATATTTTTATCTAGATAATGTTTCAGTTATACGATCTTAGCTCATGATTTAAAAAAGACAAAATTGCAAAAATGGTCCCTGTAGTTTGTCAATTTCTGTGGGTAAGGTCCAAAAAAAAGTTTATTAGCAAAAAAGGTCCCTATTTGATGGTTTGTTGCGGTTTTGGTCCCAACCTCGTTAAGTTTAACAGCATTGCTGTTAACTTTTAGCAAATGACGGATTTACCCCTGGGACCATTTCTGTAGTTTTATCTTTTTACCAAATTACAAGGACCAATTATGCAATTTTTCTTTTTCATTTTGTTGAATTATTATATATTAATTATGTTAATTACTTTTTTCTTTTTAACTTTTTTCTTATTATATTATTTTTTTGTTGGATTAGTATATATTAATACATATTATTTTTATTATATTATATTTATATATTAATAAATATTACTTTTTTATTATTAATTTTTTTAATTATTTTTTTTGAATTTCTTCTTTATTGCATTAATTCTTTTTTATTGGATTATTATATATTAATAAATATTATTTTTAACATATAATATTTAGCTATTAGTAAGTGTTACTTTTTTGGATTATTAAATTCATTTAATTAATTTTTTTTAATTTGTTATTTCGTTAATTCTTTTGATTGGATTATTATATATTAATAAATATTATTTTTAATATATTATATTTATATATTAACAAATATTACTTTTATTATTATTATTATTTTAATTGATTTTTTTTAATTTCTTCTTTATTGTATTAATTCTTTTTTATTGGATTATTATATATTAACAAATATTATTTTTAGCATATAATATTTATCTATTAGTAAGTGTTACTTTATTGGATTATTAATTTCATTTAATTATTATTTTTTAGTTTTTTTATTGCATTAGTTCTTTTTATTGGATTATTAATTTAAATTTATTATTTTTTATTTATAATAAATAATATTCATTTAATTGTTTTTATTTTATTTTAAATTCTTTATTTATTGTTTTAAATAAAAATACCAAACACTCCGGGTCAGCTCCTCCATTCGTTGCATTTTACCACCTTGCGTCGTTGAATCATCTCGCTGGAAATCATCGATCATTGACTACAGTCGGCCATTCTCGACGAAAACTACACCAATTGCCTACACACACAATGTGAAATAAAACCCAGAAAACATACTTCCTCCAGCCAACCAGTCATTACTGATACCACCATCGATGACGACAATGTTAGATCGAGGGTTTTACGAACAACTCGTCGAGTCCTCCTTCATCTGATGAACACGTCCAGTCTATGACTCGCCGAGTTGTATGAACAACTCGTCGAGTTTGTTCTTGTGGGAAGAAGATTGTCTTGGACTCGCCGAGTCAGGGCGTAGACTCGCCGAGTGCCTCTACACTCAGATTCATGCCATAACTCACTGAGTCTTTACTCCACTCGCTAAACAGACTCGCTTCTACTGAACAGGGAATCTAAGACTCGCGTCCTGACTCGCCGAGTCCGAAGAACGACTCGCCGAGTCCTTTGCATGCAGATTCTATTCAGTCGATTTTAATCAGTTTCAGTGCATCCAATTCATAGATCTAGGCTTCTTGTACAATCTGAACACGTAAAGTTGCTAACTTTACGTGTATCTATGATGCAATGAAGCAATAACACTCAAACTTGGCTAAAATGGGAGTTACTTGTCTAGAACAAGGCCATGGCTGCCAAAAGGTGGCCTTCTTGTGCTCCTGGAACTCAAGAGAGGCTAGATCTGAGATATGGCTTGATTACAAAGCTTCATCACTAGGGATTTGGGGTTTTTGAGCTCAAAACCATCAATTTGGGGACAAACTAGATCTAGCAATATAATAACCAAGATGAAAGCTTTATTACCAGAAAGGATGGCCAAAGAGGAGTATAATCTGGATCTACTTTTTCTTCTTTGAATTCTTCTAGCTTCTCCTTCTTCTTCTTGCTCAACAATGCACCAAGATTCCTTCACAAGGGCAAAAATCACTCACACACACTTCAAGGAGGCTAGGGTTTCAGGAATAAGTCTCTGAGAGGTGAAGGAGGCTGGTTAGGGGCTATAATGGGGGTTAAATAGGGTACACTCCCTAAAATTAGGGCTTCGCCCAGACTGGCGGACTCGCCGAGTTAGGAATATGGACTCGTCGAGTCGCCACGCCAACTCCACGTGCTAACCCGCTGCTACTCGACGAGTTAGGGCCACTGACTCGTCGAGTAGCTTCTAAAATAAGAAGAAAATAATGTTTTAAATGCATACCAGAAACAGGGCGTTACAAAGAAATTAAAATAATAATAATAATAAAAGTAATATTTATTAATATATAAATATAATATATTAAAAATAATATTTATTTATATATAATAATCCAATCAAAAGAATTAACGAAGTAAAAAATTTAAAAAAATTAATCAAATGAATTTAATAATCCAAAAAAGTAACACTTACTAATAACTAAATATTATATGTTAAAAATAATATTTAGTAATATATAATAATCCAATAAAAAAGAATTAATGCAATAAAGAAGAAATTCAAAAAAAAATTCAAAAAAATTAATAATAAAAAAGTAATATTTATTAATATATAAATATAATATAATAAAAATAATATGTATTAATATATAATAATCCAATAAAAAAATAATACAATAAGAAAAAAGTTAAAAAGAAAAAAGTAATTAAAATAATTAAAATAATTAATATATAATAATTAAACAAAATGAAAAAGAAAAATTGCATAATTGGTCCTTTTAGTTTGGTAAAAAGATAAAACTGCAGAAATGGTCGCAGGGGTAAATCTGTCATTTGCCAAAAGTTAACAGCCATGCTGTTAAACTTAACGAGGTTGGGACCAAAACCGCGACAAAACAATCAAATAGGGACCTTTTTTGCTAATAAACTTTTTTTTGGACCTTACCCACAAAAATTGACAAACCACAGGGACCATTTTTGCAATTTTTTCTTTAAAAAACAAGGCAATAATTATATACATAAAATGTCCTTATTTATACGATTTTATTATGTTTTATCCCATATTTCGACATCGTCAAAACAAAAAAAGGAAAAGTTTTCCAAAATATAATACAGGAACAAAAAAAAAAATCTAGAGGCTAAATCAGAACAAAATCGTATGAATAATAGCTTTTGTGGAATTAATCTTAGATAAAACATGTATATTTTGGTCCTTTTATGTGGTTTGACTACTATATTTAACTTCGGTCGTTAAAAGTCATCAATTTTTTAAAGAAATTATGTGACTCTTTTTTTCGTTTAGTAGGCATTAAAAGTAAAACCGACTCTATTAAAATGTGTGACATTATATGTACTTTCTCAAAAAACATCTAACTTTTTGAAATACTTCTCATTTAGCTAATTGATACATGTATAACCTATTAAACCGATAAATGATAAACATTTTAGGAAAAAATATATTATTTCATATTGTAACAGGATGTCATTTAGGTAATTAAGAAACAATGTTAGTTTTAACATTTGCTAAACTAGAAATATGGGACAACATTGGTCATAATGGAAATTTCTTTAGAAAATGGATGACTTTCATTGACCGAAATAAAATAGTGATTGAACTGCAAAAAAAGTAACATATATTGGTTTTTATGTATATTGTATGTTTAAAAATACAGCTTGGAATATTACTGAAGAACTATGTGATATTTTAGAACTCTTTTATAATTAAATGCTTAATTTATCGTGTGTGTATTATTTTATGTCGCATCTTTACAAGAAAATTATTCTAAATACCAATTAAGTTATCAGTTTGTCAAAATAAAATAAACAACAATAGTATGAGTCAATTAACACAATGATGATCAAACTATTAAAAACTATTTCAAGATATTTCACTAACCTCTACAATAGAACAAATTGCACAAGCATTTGATATCGATGTCAACGATTACGATTATAATCAATTTAGTAAAAATCATTTTACCATAGTGTGTTCACGACTTCACATTCCTTTTGCAAATGTTTAGGTAATTTAACTCGATCGATTTGTATGCGATTATGGTTATTGTACCATGGGTTTTGGGATTTGATGCATGTCTCTATTTAACTATTTATGTTATAAATATAATGTCACTTTAATTAATTAGATGGTTAATTATTCTTGTACATATGACTTATATAGGTAACAACTTTTGGTTACAATATGTTGATAAGATACTCTATTATATTTAATTAATGGTGTAACACCTTATGTAATGTCATTGAAAAAAGATTAAATACATATTAACTATATATTTTTGTTTTTATGGCCGTATAACATTATATGATATTCAATTATTCATAAGATTGACATGGAAATTCTTGATTTCATAGTGTTTAATTATATAATAGTTTCGTTACTTTACAAACAACTTTCTCCATTGATAATTAAATAATCGCTAGGACTTGGTACTAACCAATATAAAAAATGTAAATTAACACGCAAAAATATGTATTGAGCAAGCATAATCTTGAATTGGTCTATGCGTGGCAACATAATCTCTATATTCATATTTTATTTCAAAAGAAAAAAAGGAAAAAAAAATCCCATCTACCTTGCCAAGACATTGCTACATAATTTCTAGGAGTTTTCATATTAAAATCTAGGGCAATACTCCTAATTTGTTATATTTATGCTATTTTTACGTTTGAATCATTATATTTTATGTATATGACCCGTGTTGAATTTGATTTATATATTCCAAGTTAAATTAGATGAGGTGTATGTATATATACCCTTAAACTTGATGTATTCAAAGTTTAATTAGATGAGGTGTGTGTATATATACCCTTAAACAAATCATGTTGCATAAAGTTGGTAAATTTGGTGAACAAAAACCAAAGAGCAAAATTACAAAATAATAATAAGAAGAAAAGGAAAAGGAAAAATAAGAGAAATTGCATTCTTTTAATTCACCAAACGACACAAATTGGTTTTGTACACGGTTTCCACATGTAAACAAGATCTCCATTTCCTTATCGATTACAACTTTGACCAAATAAATAGTCAACTCTCCAGTCTTGAGTAACAGATCCTATTTCCATGAAAAAATCTTGCAAGTCTACTGCAAATACTCGTTTCTTAATGGTTTCATGTGCAAAAGTACAACCATACTTGCACAGAGTACAACTTTAAGTCTCTCCAATCTTTGTACAGATCGTTTCTTTAAATTCTTTTTAAGAAAGGTTCCAACTTTTGCAAAAAAAGATTTTCTTGATGATTTGATTTAAAGATCCAAATAGAAGACTCAAATAGTCAAACCCATATCTCATAATCAATGAAAAAACACAAAAATCCAATCTTTTTTCATCAACTAATACTTATGTAATCTAAAGTAAAGACTCAAGATCCATGTATTATAATCAAAGAAAGAACACAAAAATCTAATCTTTTCGTTTTAGAAGAGTGTTATCATTTAATACTCATGTAACTTCATATAAAAGACTCAAAACCCTTGTTTCAAATCAAATAAAGTACACAAAAAAATCAAATCTTTTTTCATCAAAAGAGTATTATCAATGAATACTCATGTAAAATCTACAACTTCTTTTCCAATTTGTATCTATACAAGACTGAAAAATAAAGGAAAAACTATAACTCTATACATAATTTGTACATTTAAACTTCAAAAGAATGCCTAAACTACCTATGTCAATTTGCATTTGCTATCAACACTAGAAATCAACAAATTAATCAAACAACTCTAGAAACTATAAAGTCAACTAATATGTTTTAAAAGTCAACGGTGATGATTGTGTTCTATTTCTTCGGTCAAACGACCTCAAACTTTTTGGAGACAAATTTGCTTGTTCTAAAGCATGTGATTGTAACTTTGAAGGGTAATCCCTCAAACAACCAATTCGAGGTCCAACTCCTGTGCTCCATTTGCACGAAAGTTGTCTTCCTAATTGAAATGATTTTGTTTCTTTATGTGAATTGATTCTTTGAATGATGGATTCTTCCATTTCTTGCTCATGTTCATCATCCGAGTAACCATCTAACACGGATTTTGATTCTTTGAATGATCGATTTTCGGTCTTTAACTTCGCATACAAATCGTTGTTGTTTGGTATTTCAAGAGCACTTAAAGTAAAACCACCGATAAACTTTGCCTTTTTTGTTGATACCAATGGCATATCTTGATCTTCAATGGTTTTTTCAAAAGTATGATCTTCATCTTCGGATGAGTGAGTTGCTACGTGAGCAATGCTACTTTGTTTTCCAAGGTATTCTTTATCATCATCATCAATGGAATCCATCTGAAATTTCAACAAAAGTGTGAGAATCAACTTTTAACTATCAAGAATAAAGCAGAAAGCAGATACTAGCAAAAAAGCTGACACTAAAGAGAGGAACATGACTAAAGAATGCAAATATTGTACTTCTTAAGCCTCCACAACCTCCTATCAAGTATCAACTATAAAAAATAAAGCAGAAAACAGATACTAGCAAAAAAGCTGACAGTATAGATGGAGTATAGACATGACAAGATTCAAAAGGTAAATATTGTACAAAAAAAAGCACAAATTACGAAAAAGGACCCTAGGAGTCTAGGACCTAGCCTATTCCTATACTACACAACATTGATTTTAAGTCTCCACACCCTTCTATTAGCTATCAAGAAAATCAAAATAAAATAATGAGAATTGAATATGGATTTGTTTTTTTACCTTTACATGAGAAGTATCCACGTCATTTTCATGGAGAAACGAAATGAAATCTTGAAAATTTTCTTTGGTAGGATGATAATGACCACTATGAGGCCAAACCGCCTATTCAATAAACATATAAATATGAGAATCTTGTACTTTTTTGAAGCAAGAAAAAGAGATTAATAATAATAACTAATGAATAATAATAATATACCTTAAGGACACCTTTCTCAGCCACAATCCTCCCTGCAGCCAACGTGGCACCCCCAGAAAGAAAACTTGAATGTTGAAAAGAACCTTTCTTTTTTATCCCAACATATAAAATCTTGTTTGTGCTTAAAACAAAGATCCATTTAGCACCTTTTGTTTCTCCTGTAGTATCAATGAATTCGCCAGTTTGTTTGTAAAAAAGCTTCCCACTTTCTATCATTACTTCATACGCCTTCCTCTCCATCTACAAAAAATCAAGAATCCTGATAAGATTCACTTCTTTATTCAACATACATCACAAAGTTCAATGCTTTATTCAAAATTACATCACAAAATCAAATCTTTATTCAATATCCATCATAAAGTTCAAAACTTTATTTGATTTCCAATCTGGGTTTTCAAAAAAGATAGAAAAAGGACAAGAATAATACCGGGCCAAGATATTTGATGCATTGTTGTTGAAGCTTTGATCTTGGACACTTTTCAACAAGATTTATTTCTTTACCTTCTCCTATATCCAACCTGAGTTTTCAAAAAATAAAAAGATTCAGTTTATATAAACTTTATAAACTTTAGAAACATTGATTTTGAATTCTGATAAGAATGTAAGATTATGAAATGTAGTTACCAATAAAAGAAGGGTTCTTTGCTTTGAGACTGAAACCATTTTAAGTAATAAAAGTGAAGATTGTGACCATAACGATGCCTTGGATCAATCTGTATAAATATAAATATAACACAAACAAAATTAGAAAAATTATAGAAATTCAACAAAGTAGTAATAAATAATAATATCAGTTTATCATTTTAGGTTTCACTTACAGCTTCGAGCCAATGCTGCAAAGCAAGCTTCTGCGCTTTTGAATTTTGTGATAATCCTTTTCCAACCTGAAAAAATGAAGAAAAACTTTATAAATTATCTGATTTTGATCATTTAATTACTTTTTTGTTTAATATTTAAATGGTTTTGAATCTACCTTAGCAGCTCGTGTTCTTGCTCTGGCCCAACGTGATGTGGCTGTTTCATGTTTGTCGATATCAAAAAATGATATCGAACTCCTTTTGAGTTCTGCAAAATCTAGAACTTTCCACCTAAAACAATCATAAACATAAAGAATCTAAATTAGCAAAAATTAAAGTGATAAAAGAAAATCGAATTGAAGTAATTAAACAATCAAAGTATAATATAATACTAACCAGTTTTGTTCAATTAAAACTGCGCAATCTGCCAACTTTCTTCTTGTTCGAAAGCTTTTGTACACTTTTTGCAACTTCGTAGCAGCTTCATGATTAGGGCTAGATAATTGCATTGTACTTTCCTTCTTTTTGGAATTGAATAATCCGTTTTCTTCTTGTGAAGGGATTTTGAGGGTCATTTTTTGAGGGATTATGGATTTCGTTATGATTGATTCGGAATCTTGGCTCTTGAAACTGATTGATTTGACCAAAATTTTACCTTCTTCATCTTCTAAACAGCTGATGGAGGTTTCCAAATCTGTACAGGTAGCAAAGGGGCACGAAATTGATAATCCCATGCAAGTTTGAAAGGAATGTTTAACAGTTTATGAATCTTGATGTATGTTGTTCCTGTTACAAGAAATTCATTACGTTCGAATTAGAATCGATTATCAAGAACGTGTATGGTGTATAAGAATAGAAGATTGTAGAAACTAAAAAATGTAAGATTTATTAGGAGATATAACGTTTGAAGTTTAGTCATTTGTGATGACTAATACGATTACACCAACAAACAGCAAACAGTTTGAACACAATGCTCGTTGTCGATGTAAATTCAAAAGGTTAGGGCTTTGATTGTAAAGAGAAATGAATCTTTAAGAATAATCAAACCTAGAAAGAGATAGATACACAGTTCAGATACCCACTGGCGCATTTCATCGAAAACCTCATGGGCATGAACAAAAGAGCGGAAAGATGCGAAATACATATAATACCGAACAAAAATTAAAAAAGAAATGGGAAAAATCGTGGAAGAGAAAGAGTTAATGATAACCTTATAGAGAAATTGATGAGTAAAGACTGAGAAATTGGATTGATGTTGTGTTTGAGTAAGTTTTTGTTGTCGATTTTGAGTTGAAATTGGAATGGAAACAGAGAAGCTGGAGTAGTTGGCTACTGTGATGGAAAAATTACTCTTATATATAGAAGCCGTCCTGTAGTTTCGGAGTATGCGTGTGAAAGGGGAAGAAGAGGTGGCACGTGGATGGACTTTTAGAGTATCATTTATTCTAGTAATAAATTTATATTTATATTTTTTTCATTTTAAATAATATGTCAATTTAATTAAAGTTTTATATACAAAGTAAAATAGCTATATTCAAAGATTCATATCCATATGGATATCTAATGTATAAATTGGAAAGCTAATTAAAAAACAAATATTTTATTGTTATCTTAATAATTGATAAAGCATACTTTTATTGAACATCTAGAGCTTTTTATTGGAGTCTTGTAATGCAAAAAAAATTCAAATGAAAAAGTTTATTATATCTTTATAATATAAAAGTTTTTTCGATTAGATTTTTATAGATTGTTTGTATAAATTATAAATTTATAATCGGTTATAAATATATAAGATTCACAAAATCGTTGAAAAAACTAATAAAAAACTTGCTAAGTAATACAAAAAAAAAAAAAAAAAAAAAAAATTCCTCTATAGCTTTTTAAAGTTTTAAGAAGTTTTTGATTTAAAAAACTCTTCTCTAACCGATTAATATACAAATTTATCTTCTTTTTTTTTTCTTTTTTTTTTTGTAAAACTTACATATATAAGGATGAGCATATGGACCGGGGAACCGGCCGGAATCGGAACCCGATGGAACCGGTCGGGCCGGGACCGGAACAATATTTTTGTGGATTTTTAGAACCGGAAACCGGTAGAACCGGCAAAAACCGAAACCGTATGTTGCTATTTTTCGAGGACCGGTTCCAATATTTGAAGACACAGCAAGAACCGGTAGAACCGACGGTCCGGTTCAGTTCCTATTTTCCACCAAGTTCAGTTCCCGGACCGGTTCCAGCCGGGTTGGTTCATTTGCTCATTCCTCTCTCTCTCTCTCTCTCTCTCTCTCTATATATATATATATATATATATATATATATATATATATATATATGATAAGTTTGATGCATATAAATGTTCAAATTTGATATAAAATGGTAATTCATTAATTCATTAATGATTAATATAATACATCACAAAGTGAAATAATGGATAGACCTATTATTTTCTTACGATCAATCTAAAATTATACAAAAAAATTGTTCGCATATTTTTATGTAATATAATACTCTATAAACAAAAACAATAGATTAAAATGTAGCATAAGACATGATTTCAAAATTTTGTTAATAAAATTTCATCTTTTGAAGACCCACAAAACCAAATGTGAATTAATAAAACTTCTCTAATTCCAATTTAAATGTAATATTTACTATATACTAAATGAAAATATTGGTGGTGAAGTTTCCCTTTTAAAAACTATACCAGCAACCTTTTTACTTTTAAAAACTATATTTGTTACCTCTTAATTTTTTAAAATACTTTGTAAAATTATATTTTCTATATCTCTACTATTTAAAATGTCATTCTCATTTTCTTTATTTTTCTAAACTTCTCTTTACTTTATAAAATGATACTTTTCATCACTTAACTTTGTACATTTTCAATTTTATAAAATGTTACCTACCTTCAACACCTTCAAATTAAAAAAATTTATGCTTATCCTTCGTAGTAGTATATATATATATATATATATATATATATATATATATATATATATATATATATATATATATATATATATAAACCTTCATTTGTTAACTGAAAAAAAAAAAATTACATGCTTATTTTTATTCAAGTGTCTGTGGATGTTTCCATCAATATTTTCCACCCTTCTACTTTGTAAAATGATACTTTTCACCCCTTATTTTTTTTAAAGCACTTTGCAAAATGATATTTTTCACCCCTTTACTTTTTAAAATGTCACTTTGACCCCTTCCATTTTGAACTTTATAAAATATCATTTTCACCCTCAATTTTCTAAACTTTTGTGTTGTCCTTCGTTATATATATATATATATATATATATATATATATATATATAAAATATCATTTCCACCCTCAATTTTCTAAACTTTTGTGTTGTCCTTTGTAATATAGATATATATATATATATATATATATATATATATATAATTTGATTTCCATTAATAATTTTCGTTCGTTACCTTAAAAAAAACTAAATTTTTACGTGTTTATTTTTGTGCATGTGTCAGTATATATAATCTGATTTTCCTATGTTTAAACCCTTCAACTTTGTAAATTTTACTTTTATCCCTTCGGCTTTAAACTTTTCATATAGTTATTAGATATTTGCTAAATACTTCGTATATGTTTTATACATGCAACTCATCATTCATCAAATACATTGTCGTCGTTGCAACGCTCAAACACCTTATATTATTGTATGCAATGTCTTTTTCAAATACCAAGTAAACCGGTTTCTAAAAGTAACAATTACTCGATTTTAACAATTACTCGATTTTGTGATAATTTTGTGACTATCGTTGTTGATTAGTGTGCATGATCATATTCTATTTTAAAATAAAAATAAAATTGAAAAGGAGAGTCCATTCTATTTTGTTGGAAGATGTCAAAGTAAAAGTCCAACGTGTCCAAGTAATTTGCTTTATAAAGGGTCCATTCGAATTGACCCGTTCGAACCATCGCCGTTGCTTATGTAATATGTGAGGATGCACCTTTCAATGCCTTCTTTAGCTTAACTTGCAAGCTATATCTATTATTCAAATCAATTAAAAATTATAATATTAAGTGGTTTCTAATTTTAATTAATTATTAAATAAATAAAATGACTTTTCATAATACAAAGCGAATAGCCATATGACAACCAATTTTACACATGTTTTATTAAGCCTGTACGGTATGGGCCTCTCAACGCATTTGAGAGACCGAGCTTGAACGCCTCAACGATGTTGAGGCTGAAGAAACACCGCTCCGCCCAGCCGTTAGGTTAATTCTCGTTGTCTGCTCGACGTGTCTCAACGGCAAAATAATAAAAATAATAATAATGATCCTTTGACTTCATATTTAAAAAAAACAAAAAAACAAAAAAAAATATCTTTAAAGTGGTGTGGCGCGTATTTCCATCGTGTGATGTGACATGATGTAACAAAAATTTGGTGTCGGGAATGTGACTCATACCCATAACACTTATCATTTTTAGACCATCTTCAAACCTTAACATTATTTTTTTACACTATACCTATAGTTATAGTGTAAAACATAGTGTAAACACTAAAATCCTCCAACTCATTTTACACATGTTTTATTAGCCTGTACGGTATGGGCCTCTCAACGCATTTGAGAGACCGATCTTGAACGCCTCAACGACGTTGAGGCTGAAGAAACACCGCTCCGCCCAGCCGTTAGGTTAATTCTCGTTGCCCGCTCGACTTGTCTCAACGGCAAAATAATAATAATGATCCTTTGACTTCATATTAAAAAAAAAACAAAAAAACAAAAAAAAAATACCTTTAAAGTGATGTGGCGCGTATTTCCATCGTGTGATGTGACATGATGTAACAAAAATTTGGTGTCGGTAATGTGACTCATACCCATAACAATTATCATTTTTAGACCATCTTCAAACCTTAACACTATTTTTTACACTATATGTAACGTCCCAAAAATACAGTCTAAAAATTTCGTTTTACTTCAATAATAAAACCATAGTCATCGAACATCATATAAAAATCATAAACAGTGTATCTCAAAATACCATAACAATTGTCAAAATATCATAATATAAACATCACAGGCTGAACAGATGGTATGTGCACTGCAATCTTCCCGAGCTCCTCTTTTGGAAACTGAGTACCTGAAACCAAAACTGAAACTGTAAGCACTAAGCTTAGTGAGCTCACCCGAACTACCACATACCATACAATAAGATATAAAGCACATATTGGGCCTCGCCCACTGCATCAGACCGAAGTCCGGAACTGACTAGGGCCTTGCCCTCTGCATCGGACCGAAGTTCGGAAACTGCATCGGACCGAAGTCCGGAACTAACCAGGGCCTTGCCTTCTGCATCGGACCGAAGTCCGGAAACTGCATCGGACCGAAGTCCGGAACTAACCAGGGCCTTGCCCTCTGCATCGGACCGAAGTCCGGAAACTGACTGAACATAGCATAGTATAATCATAACTACTGGCATAAACACACATACTGCATACTGCATCAGACCGAAGTCCGGGACACATAACACAAAGACGTGCTTGAGTCACAAAGACATCGAGCACACTGAACTTACTGCATCGGACCGAAGTCCGGAACTACTGCTAACTAAACGGGCCGGCATTGTGGCCGTAGACCCGTTCCTACTGGAAGGAAACTCACCTGGTACTGCTGAAACTGCCGATAACCCTCTGGCTGCTATCCAACAACTCTCCGAACTGCTGCTCCTTTAGCTCTCCTAGCTACCAATACCAAATAATAGTAACACTTAGCCTAACTGCCCTCAAGAAGTCAACTAAGTCAACTCTGGTCAAAGTCCTCCCCAAGGTCAAGGTCCTGGTCAAATTCAACCTTCCAGTTGACTCGACTCGTCGAGTTGTTCTGCCAACTCGTCGAGTCCATGCTCCTCAAATCCCAAAACAACCCCGACTCCACTCGTCGAGTCTAGCGAGAACTCGACGAGTTCTCCTTCATCTAACACTTCGGGACTATCTTCAACCGACTCGCCGAGTTCATCCTTGAACTCGTCGAGTTCATCATCATCGTATGAATATCTAGGCCATGACTCGCCGAGTTGTATGAACAACTCGTCGAGTTCATCTTCATAACTAAGAAGATTGTCTTGGACTTGTCGAGTTCCTCTTCGAACTCGTCGAGTACTATGATCTTCATGTCCAATACAGACCCAGTCTGGTTGAATCCTTTACTAACTCCACTCACTGATCCGAATCATAAACAAAAGGGTTTGGGTTTGCGACCCGACTCGCCAAGTCCATGAACTGACTCGCCGAGTCCACCTTGTGACATCTCTATTATGTCGATTACAGTCCATTGCAACACCTTCAACCCATAGATTTGGACTTCTAATGCTAACATTGCACGTAAAGTTGCTAACTTTACGTGCATGCAAGGTATTATGAGGCTAGAACACTTAATCCAAGCTACAAAGAAGGCCTAGGTCATGAAATGAAGCCATGGCTAGGTAAAGCTGCCCCCTTAGAGCTTCTAAAGCTCCAAAATGCTTAGATCTTAAGTCCTTTTCGTCCTCAATGGCTCAATGCTCGGATTGACCTTGGAAATGGTCCAAATGCGACAAAATCTATGCTAGAAAGGGGATCTAGATGATTAACAGTCAAGGTATAAGCTTTTTACCTCTAAATGGTTTGAAATGCTACCCCAACTCTGGATCTATAGCTTCTTCTTGCACCACCAAGGTCCTTCTTCCTTCTCCAAGCTTCAATTCACTCTCAAGGCAAGAACTAACTCAAAAATGAAGTTGGGTGGCTAGGGTTTTGAGTTCTGGAAAATAGGGGCCACAAATGAGCCTTAGGGAAGAGAATAAGATGTTTAAATAGGGTACCAAGTCCCAGAATTAGGGTTTCCAAACCCAGACTAGACTCGCCGAGTCCACTTGCTGACTCGCCGAGTCGGTCACTTAATCTTGACATGGAACCCGGTCCGACTCGTCGAGTTCTTCCCTAGACTAGACGAGTTGTGTCACACCCCAAAACCGGAACTGCGGAAACGTTCTGGGGTGGAGGACGTCATGTACAGTATCATAACAATGCATAATAGTAAAGACAAGCAACAACATCCATTGCATTAATATAATAATTGTAATACAAGCGTGTTCTGTATAGTTTGTAAGACACCAAAAATGTATAATCAAAATAAAGATGAGTCTTGTATGTGCTCCATCTTCTCAAAAGTTTCATCTGTACATGTCTACTGATGACCTGAGAATACAAGTTATTTTGAAAGAGTTTATCAGCATAAAGCTGGTGAGTTCATAAGTATTTAGTGTCATTGCTTGTATGAAAATGTTTGTAACAACTTAATGTAGTAACTGATTTCAAATGTTTGTAAATAGTATACTCCCTAAAAAATCCTATATTTTCCAGTAAAATGTAGTCTTCTACCAAGACCCGATTGTTTGTATGTTTGTTCTTTCGTAATAGTAAGAGTTTTCCCCAGTGAAACTATCAGTATGAAAATATAGTTTTAGACTCCACTCATGTAAGGTGATTTCAAAATAAATGAACTAGGGGAAATTAATGTTTTACCCCAGCAGTATCACCGCTGACTGATAGTGATGAAAATGCAGACTCCAGGTAGTATTAAAAGTACAATACACCTCGAGGAGTCCGTTTTGCCTTTAATTATTAATTGGTTAATTAAAGGTTTGAATGTGAACTCGTATGTAACCATGCTGATCTATGGCTGAATAACTGATGACCCTCCGAGTCATATGTAGTGAGGTAACATTCTGTCACCCCTTGCCCTTATCGGCTGGGACTGTAGCTAGCAGTCGGGATGTGGGAGTGTCTGTCCCGTATAGATCTATACACACAATGCCCGCTCTCCCTCCAGGAGACTCTGGTTACAAAGTGATACCACGATGAAGTGTCGTATCGAGAAGTAGTATGTCACATTCGGTTTATAGTATTCAAATGGTTGTATAGTATGTCATAGTGTAGTAATGTTTTCTCTTTGCTAGTATATAGTATGTTTCTGTATAGTGTATAATATGTTCTCTTGTATAGTGTATAGTATGTTCTCTTGTAGTGTCTCGTAAATGTACTGACTCTTGTATGTATCTTTGTAATAGTAGTAGCGAGTAGTAATCCCTTAACTATACATATTATAGTTAAATAGTAATGTGGTTTGTATGCCTTCATTACACAAAGGCATTGAACTGAAGTGAAAGCTTTTATATCTAACACATATACATATGATATATAACTAAGAGTTCAACGACATTCGGACAAATAACAGGATACCCTAAGTCCACAACCAAACAAGGAACAGGAAATAAGGTGAGCTATCAGTCCTAAGTCCTTCAAGTCTTACTTATATAAATATATTAGTGTAGATATGAGTTTGAAAACAATGCAAGTTTAAAAGAGTTTGGAAACAGTTTTATAAACAGTTCAACATATAAATGAGTTTGATAACCATTTTGAAGTAGTTTTGTTGACAAAGCAGTTAAAAGTATAGAAAGTCCATTTGTTTGCAAGTTATAAATCACATGTGATTGATATTATAACTAGTTTGATTCAACTTGTATCCCCCCATAAAAGCATTTAAAAACATTTAAAAGGTTGATTAAGGGGGTATGAACTCACCTGTAGTGAGTGGTTTGGATGGAAGTGTTGGATAGGATGCTAAGTGTCAAGTGAAGACTTGAACACACACACGGATCCTATTTAACATGTAATGACACATATATGTATCTAATTAGTCATTTAACAACTAATTAACCAAGTAAGGACAGCCTAAAATATGGATAACACTTTGATTCAAGTGCTAGGAGTATCAAGGGGTTGCATCTAAAGAGAGTATGGCCTCACATTGGAGTTTACTGCCCATATGGTAACACCACATGAGTTTACGGTTTATGGTCATTTCCCCCATGAGTTTACGGCCGTAAACTCATGGTAATTAGTACCATTGTGTGTTTTAGGGTCTTACAAGTCAAGGTTAAGCATCCTATGATCAAGTCCAAGCCTTAGGAAGTAATAGTGGCACAATTTGCACCAACTTTTAGAGTTTACGGCCCATGGTCATAACCCCATGAGTTTACGGTCGTAAACTCATGTGTGCTTGATTATTTTGTTTGTTTAAGGTGCTATACTCCTCATAGAAGTGATCTAGACTTGGTTCCAAGGCTTTAGAAGGGACTAGGGCTCATAATGGCCCCCTTATTAGGGTTTACGGCCCAAGGACCAACTCCCATGGAGTTTACGGTTTTGGGTTTACGGTCCTAGTGGGTTTACGGTCGTAAACCCATGGTAACTTCCATCATTTCGTGGTTTAAGGTCCTTAGCTCATGCATGTAAGGTTCTAGTCCAATATCCAAGCCCTAGAAGGTAATGGTGGCACATATGCACCACCTTATGGTGTTTACGGTCCAAGGAGATTGCCTTGGCCGTAAACCCATGTGTTCTTGGGTATTCTTGATGTTTTTACAATGGTTTAACAAGTATTCTAAGTAAATAACTAGTTAGG